TATTTCATCGCAGCCGCCAGCTCGCGGACTTTCAACCGACTGCGTCATGGACCACTCCCTTTCCAGGTCAGTCCCTCCCCCCCACGCGGATCGACCTCTTTCCATTTGACAAGCTCTCTTCCCTCCACTTTCTCAGCCAAGTCACTCCCCGTCCTCTCATCCTCGACGCCTCCGACACACACATCGCCATCTCCTCCCTGCCTCCCTCTTCCCGCCTTCGCGACCATCGCCCGCGGCTCCTCCCTCATCATCTTCCCAAGCCACTTCCTCCCTCCAGCAGCGGGACACGGCCCAAGGTAAGTTTCCCCTCCCCCTCCCCCTCATTGTACGCGTTCCCACAACCAACTTTTCGCATTTCTTGTCCAACACTATCGATACTTCCCGCATCCTACTCTACTCGTAGGTCCGTCTGGACCCCTCGGAGCCGCTCCACACTCTTCTCGGCGTCCTGGGAAGGGGCACGTACGGCGTGGTCTACCATCTCAAGTGCCCGACGGCGGGAGAGGTAGATTTCGCAGTTAAGGTAAGATCACAAAGACGGATGGGTGGGCGCTTGTGCCGCTTATTTGGATGGGGAACCTCGAAGATGGGAGCCACAGCTTTAAGGAAGACGAGCCGAACCACTCGCCGGCGTTGCGCCTGGGCTCTCTTTACCATAACCCTGACCCTTTCTTGCCTGTCATTCAGGTGGAAACGGTTGATCCCGCCTCCCCTGACGCCACACTCCCCCACGAGTTCAACATGCTCTCCTTGTTGGAAGAACGGGTAAAGTCACAGGCAAGTCCTGGAGGATACTGTCAGAGGACAAGGAGGGTCCACGCTCCTTGGGGCTTTACTTTTTCTTGAGCCCTGACTAATCTTTCCTGTCGCACATTTAGGGTCGTCGGGATCATAAAGCTGCTGCAACGCCCGTCGAGCCTCCCTTCTTTCTTGCTCCCACTGCCTTGCACCTGTTTAAGAATGGTTCCGCCCTATGCTTGCCCTTGGGCACGGACGGCACCCTCCACGACCTTCTGCGCTGGCATACTGCCACAAGGGGTGGAAGTATGTAGTGCGGAAGAGGACCATCACCTCTTTCCTTCCACCAGCCTCTTATCTCAATACTCCTCCTTCTGACATTGCCTTTTCCTCCCCCTCTCTCTCAGGCTTGCCTGAGCCTCTTGCTCTGCATTACACCCTTCAAATGCTACGCGTCATCCGTAGACTCTGGGTTGAAGGAGGTATGTTGCACTGCGACATTAGATGCGATAATTTTCTCATGGTGGGGCAGGGAAGCTTGATGGTCATCGACCTTGGTGTGAGCTTGGATGTGCGAGGTGCAGAGGAGGACCAAGAGGAAAGTGTCGAAATCCAATTTTCGGGGGGCAGAGCAGCGTCGGGGTATCAATGTCGAGCTATGCGAGCAGAAAGATCAAGTAAGCGCGACCATGGCATTCAAGAAGGAGAGATGAAAAGAGGATGGAGGGAAGACGCAGATTTGTATGCCTTAGGTGCCTCAGCCTACTGCTTGCTGCATGGACACTCTCCCCTTTCTGTGTATTTTGCTGATGACATGAAAGGCAATGAGATGAAGTCTAAAAAAGCAATGAAACCGACTTGCTGCAAGGGAGCGAACTATTGGAGGCTGAAGCGGTACTGGGAGCAGGAAGCGTGGACGAGAGTCCTTGAGGGGCTGATGGGAGCGGACATAGAATCGCTGAGGCCAACACAGGCGGTCCAGCGGCTTGACGAACTATGTGATGTCTTAAAAGAAGTTTTGGAAGGTCCAAAGGGAAAAGGATTGTCTTGCCTCTTGGAAACTGTAGCACGAGAGATGGGGCCATTTCTTGCTGGAGTGCGGGCTGGACGATTGTGAGGGAGAAAGCTGTGAAGAGGATTTAAACCCCATACTGTTTCATAATTTAAAATATCACAGGAGAATGTTGCCAAAATGTCGTGTAAACATTGCTTGAGCTGGGAACGTTGTCAGGATTGGGAGGTTGTATTTCAAATAACCGTTTATGTAACAGAAAAGCGCGCCGAGCTCCCGCATTAAAGTGTTGTTGGCAATACATGGGTATTGTATCCAGTTTGAACAGAGACTTGAAAAGACATGATTGTACATTCAGCAACCGAAGGTAATTAAGTGTTTGATGAACTCACTAAACCGATGAAATTTTCTACATTCAAATATTCTAGCAGTCCATAATTCAAACGACGCTACTGTTTCACAACAATATTTTTGTACCTTTCCCTCCAAAAAAAAATAAGGTTCTGCAGTGATAAAGAAGGGATAAATAAAACAGGGAAAGTAAGTATTGCCCCTCAATACCCGCGGATTTTAGATAAGAGGTATGGTTCTCTTTGTGCTTTATGGCGTCGGGCTCCCTTTACGATTCTGACGATCGGCCCATAAATATTCATCTTCATACCACCGCATCAACAAGATAAGTTTCGATCCCTCTAGTTCTACCAAACAGGAAACAGAAGGCTGGTATGGTTTGGCACGGCATCCATTTGTCAGCCATCGCCAAACAGGTATGGGCCTACCGCAATCAACAGCCTCAACACTCATTTTTCGTGTTAGTTCAATGATAGCTCACTTCCTTCTCCCGTTCGTATGATTTTTCCTTCAGCTGCCAGCAATTCGCGGTTATTTACAAGAAGACGTTCGACTGATCGATTTGCAGGATGATACCTATGGGATGTCTCCTCTTATTTGGAGTGTACGTACGTCGGTAGAGAAAATGCTGCACCGGATGGTGTTCACTTATTTTGTGGTCAATGATGCATCCCTTGACCCCCCTCATCTTGTTCTTCCCGTATTCTTAAACTGTCCTTACCTCAAGTGCGTCATGGGCCATGATGATGTTGCCGCTTGGCTGCTCGCCCGCGGGGCTTCAGTAGATCTCGTAGACTCCGGGGGGCGATCTGCATTGTTTTACGCCAGCAAGATTGGGTGAGTAGTATGAAAGATGCAGCGACTGGGAGCATAGGAGAAGGAAACGCAATCCGGCGGGGGCGTCGCTTACGTTCAGGTATTGATCGTTTCTCGTCTTTCCCTGCTACTCTCAGATACTTGGACCTCGTCTCGGTGCTCCTTAAACACAATCCAGACGTCCGTAAACAGAGCACAGAAGGTAAAGGCTTGGTCGAAAGGTTTCAGCAATCGTGACAGGCGTCCACTTCTCATATTCGTGTCTTCTTTCCGCAGGAATGACACCTCTCATCATCGCCTGCGCATGCGGACATACAGACGTGGTGAAGGCTCTCATTGACCACGCCTGTTCACTGGCCCCCCTTTCCTCCAAGAGTAACGCCTGCTTGTCTTCCTCCCATTCTTCCTTCGCTTCCACTACCGTCACGGCTACCAGCAGAGCGGCTGCCTCCTCCCTCTCGTCTTTGTCCGTCCAGCCCCCTGCTATCAAAGAATACTTAGACCTTGTCACGCGGAGGGGGAACAGCGCTGTGCATTGCGCCTCCCGTTTCCCTCAGATCCTAAAGATTCTGCTCCAGGTCCGTCGACTTGGCTTCCAAGCTCTTCGTCCCCTACCCCCTTCTTTCCAGTCATTCACACAAAAGAACCCCTTTTCTCTGACGAACAACTTCTATGTCTTAGTTCTTTCAGCAGTAATGACGAAAGTCATCTCATCAGTGAGCGCACCCGTATTATTTTCCTCTCCCTCTCCACAGAAAGGAGCAAATCCAACCCTAGTTAACCGGGAGGGCCACACAGCCCTGGAAATCGCCATGGCTAAGAACGTTCCTACTTCCGTTCGCGTCCTTAAGGTGAGGAATGAGGACGTAAAACAGGGCAGGAATGCAGACAGAGCCCATTCTTGTCACTCACTGCACACAGAGACATGGGTTCATAAAAACCGCCTTCCCTCTCCTCCGTTAGAAATATCTGCAGGAGAAGGAGTCGCGGCGGGCGCGATGTCTTTACAAGGCGCGTGCCATCTGCGACGCCTCCCACGCCCTCCGACACACGTATGTGACGGGCAAGACCCGTGCTGAGAAGGTAGGTTGCAGCGAATTTTTTGACAAAGATTCTTCCCCAGGACCTCTCCTCGTCGACATAGCCTTTAATTAGGTTCTCAATAGTGAAAGCTAAGATTGCTCTTTAAAGTCCTTTGACAAACTTCCCTTTTCTGTTTCGCATGCTCCTACACAGCGTCGTAAGTGTCTTAGCGTGACTCCTGGCTACTTGGAGGAGAGGGTCGTGCGGGAGGCTCCTTTGCCGCTTTTGCTCGCTGGGTCCAGGGGAGAAAACGAAAAGTCGGAGAGAGAGAACGGACGTGGAAGGGGGCTCAGTCGAGTGGTACGGGCGAATAGGAAAAGGTCTTTCGAGAGGCAAGAGGAGGGCGAGGAACCCGTGAAGGCGTTACACGCGCAGACCGCGCGGTGTCCGTCAGTCCAAGACCCGCGCACGCAGGTAGGTCATCCTTCCATAGGGCCACTAGACCACCTCCCCTTTCCATGTTTCCACCGCTTTCTTGATGTTGGAAATATATTTGTGGCAGGCCTTTGATGTCCACGCACTTGTCTCCATATTTTCCCCAAGGTGCGCGAGGCTGTTTTCTGGCACACGGTGGGGGGAGGGCTGAAAAGGGAGCTTTTCGTCGAACTTATGGATATGATGCTGCCCAAGTGGGACCCTGAGCGAGTTCGGTAGGAGAGCATTGAATCACTGGATTGACAGCGGGCGAAGGAGGCCGAAGAGGGAAGATTGCAGGATTTATCTGTACCTAACAATACTGTATCATCTTTCTTGTGTATAACAAGCGTACGAAGCTGTCCGAGCACCAAATAAAGTGGGTGATCGTGGTGAATGTGGACAAGGCACATAAAATGTCTCTAGAGGAGTAAGAATGTGCAGTTGGAATCTGAAGGAAGCTTTTAAAACTATATCCATATATACTTTTAGCTTGCGCGAGACCCACACCTTCTGGGATTCTTATTTCTTTTCCTTCTCCCTCCTCTTCTCCACCGTGCCCGCCCTTCCTTTCTACCTTTTGCCCTTAAAGTCGGGGCTTGACCAGGATCCCCCCGTCCACGACAAGTACGGCGCCGGTCACGTAGGCTCCTGCCCGCGAGGCCAGGAACAAGGCTGCTCCTGCCATATCCTAAGGGAAGGGAGAAGGGAGGGACAGGGGAGAGCGTGTTGAGATAGGCTCGCGGTCCGGTGATCTTTCCGCTGACCTTGCGACTCTTCCTTCGTCTAGCATCTCGTCCCCTCCCTTCCCGCTACCCCGCCTTTCCTCCCACCCCTACTACCTCTGGAGATCCTATTCTGCCCAAGGCCGTCCCCGCCTCTATCTCCTCCTGCGCCCGCGCCAGGGTCACCTTCATCATCTTGCTGGCAAAGGGACCCGGAGCGAGGGTATTTACGGTGATGTGTCGGTGACCTACGGGATTGGGGAATGAAGGGCGGGCAACGGCGCCGAGCCATCCACAAGGGCGGGCGGCGAGGGATTTGAGTAAGCGGACACAGCGAGCCCCGGGTAAGGAAGGGCAGAGTGGAAGACGACCCACCTAGCTTGCCAGCTAAGACCTTGGAAAGCTGATGCAATGCGGCCTTGGAAGAAGAGTAAGCAAAGTGGTCGATCAGCGTCACGCGCGCCCCGTCAATCGAGCCTTGGGGTTGAGGAATTAGAGGGAGAAAGAGAGGAGGAAGAATAGGGGGAAGTGAGGCCAAGTGCAAGAGGTGCTCGCCCAAAAGTACCACTTCACCTATGTTTATCACGCGCGCAGGATTTCCAAGGGTGGCCGTTGCTTCAAGTAGGGGTAAGGCGAGGCGCGTGAGACTGAAGGCAGCGAGGAGGTTGAGGGCGACGACCTTCTCGAAAGCCTGCACAGCGGAAGGGAACGCGATGAGCATGACATGCTTCGACAGCTTCTGCATGAGCCTCCCTCGCCGCCAGTCACCCTGTTCCCGCCCTCCCCTTGTACCTTGATAGGGTAGGACTCGACGGGCTCGGCCCAGTTGGTGCCCGCGTTGTTCACGAGGACATGCAGCTTGCCGGCTGTCTCGCGGGCGACTGCCGAGAGGAGATTCATCTGTGAAAATGTATTTAGGGACGTGAAAAACTGTCCCAGTCAGAGTCTCCCTCCGGCTCTGAACGTGCCACGAGTCCCACCTGCTCGCTTTCCCCCTTGGAGAGGTCGGCAGTCAGGCCACGACAGAAGACCCGGGAGGGCGGACGGGAGGACGCGCGGACAATCTCTGCTGCTGCTTGCGTGGCTTCTTTCCGGGAGGCTATAAAAACACGTGCGCCTTTACGATGAGGTATGCCCAGCAGGACAGGCACAACGTGCAGAGCGTATGAGTGAGGAGTGAAACGCTACTTCCAGCTTTCTAGAGAAATTGTCACTGTGCTCGACAAAATTTACCGTTATCCACAAAGCCTTGAGCTATCATTCGGCCGATGCCCGTCCCACCTCCAGTAATTAAAACGTTTTTGTCTCGTACGTCGAAAAGTTTATCAACAGAAAGTGAGGGCGAGAGGGAGGAGGTAGACAGACTGGGAGCGTCCATGGCCATGGCAGCAGAGTTACGGTCCAAAATCGTGATTGTGGACTCCTGATTTGTATGAATTTACTTTTAATCGTGAAAAAGGTGTGGATTGGATGTACTTGGAGTAATAAAAACCGCTTTAGTACGGTAGCGACAGACTTTCGGAATTGAAGTTGCCCCGCCGCGTCGAGACAGAGTACCTCGCTCGAGTTAGCTACCTTTTTGTTGACCCCGCCGACAAATTACCCTAACCCTAACTCGTGCGGGGACGGATTACGTTTTCAGCTGACTTAAACTCGCCGGTGACACTCGAACTGTGGAAGACAGGCCCTAGGGATCATCACACGTCAAGAGATGTACATCCTCTTTGGCGTTCCCCTTCTCCTTCTCATGGCGTCACCAGCCAGCCAGGCGTTGAGGATATCGACGATGACCCCCTTTTTCAGCCGTCAAGTCTCGGAAAGAGGTAAAGAAGAGCATGGATTGCGCCCACCCAAAAATGCGCTTTAGTTGGGGGGGGGGGGGGAAGGTCAAGCGTGTTGCCGTATCCGCGTAGCCGTAGCATTCTGAGCCATTCCTGTGTACCCCCCATCTTGCAGCCGCCGGCTTGAGCAAGATTCACTTGGCACCTAAGTCTAGCACTGCTGTGTGTGCGACAGACACAAGGTGAGTACATCTGTTAGGGTGTCTTTATTTCCTCGCATGGCGCCACATCCCGTTTTCGAACGTGCCCCTCGAGCACAGCTCTCTCCCCATCTCTTCCCGACTCCTCGACATCAGCTCCATTACGTCCGCCCCAACAACCTGGGATGAGCAAGGAGCGGCTGGGTTCATACCTCCTCCCATAGCAGTAGTGGGACTGTTGGCGCGAGTAGGACCTGGAGGATTCGGAGGGACGGGCCCGCCTTTGAAATTCGACGAGGTCATGCAGGTAGGAGAGGAAGCGAGGTCGATCGCTATCAAAGCTACGCACATTTGATAGGAATAGGGTAATATTAAGACTTTTGGCAGTTTGTTGTGTCTACGCGTCAAAAAGCGCTCAGTGGAAACTCTTGATTTTCGGATTTCTCTGCCACACAACCGAAACCAACCCCAGCTTCCGTGATGCTTTCCAAGAATTTTTGCAAGCCTTTGAGCACCTTTAGCGATGATTGAAGCGGTTGAGGCAAAGAAAGTAGGAGGTCCGAGATTCATTCTTACCCCTTGCAAATTTGTACAGGCTATCGACGACACATACGACTACACGCCTAAGCCCTTCAAAAATGGGGACGTAACGAACCCTGCAGGAACTAATGCGGTGCGTCCCACACTTCTAGACTTCACAAGAAAGCTACAGATAGATGTCAAGCCCCCTTTTCTTCCTTTCTCAGAACTTATTTTCAATCAATGGCTAGGGCTCCTGCAAGCTCCTCTCCCTCGGCATCCTTCACGGCTTACCACCCGCTTCGTTGCTCGCCCTTTTCGGTACGTTGTCGTTCACATTTGAGTACATGCGGCCTTGTCAAGTCATTCACTGACCTATTCTTATTGCTATGAGTCATTTTTAAATAAAATATCATCCTAGCTTCCCGAGGATGTACAACCTTTCTCTTCTTTTTTAAGCGATAACCTTTCTTTTTTTGTTTTGATTGAGTCTTACGGCTAAATTTCTTACCACCGCTCTTGCAATCAATCTTATCATTTTGTGGGCATAGGTGAACACTACCGGTCTGTAATTCAGACCCCAAAAGGTAGCGATCACGGGAATATTCGAAGTCTCCTCTCAAAGGGATGGCAGGCGGTCTCTTTTCCTGAAGGTCTATCCCTGCGTCTCAAATAATAGTGTCGATGGAGAGAAACATGTTAGATTTCCATGAAAAGCTCGCATTCAATTGGACAAGACACTTCAAAGAAATTGAAAGGACAGTTTTGATCAATTTCAATTTGTTGCCTCCCATGGGAGGAGCAGGCCCAAGCAGCGACCCTGGCGGTATTCTTGGGCCAGCGAGGGAGCATATTCGCGTGTGACTGCTGCCCTGGAGACATTCGTGTTTTGTTGGATACGGAGCAACATGTGTTTAATAAAGTGTTTTCAAAAATATTTAAATGCTCTGCGTACCTTGATGCGCGCTGGGGCTCGAATGCATCGATCGGATTCCCCTCCTCGACATACGTTAACCCCCTATCCAGTTAATATTTCCCTTAGAAGGAGACCAAGTATTTGTGACTTTTGGCCTTCAGATTTTTGATAAAAAGATTTTGGAAATTCTCATTGGTCTAGTTTTTGCCTTGTGTAGCTTTTTCAAAGGATTGTCCGGCCTCCAGATCACACAACCTACCTTCCATCTTAAGTGCCAGGCTTCCCGTAAAAATTTTACGTCTGCATGGATAAACTTCCCTCAACGTGCTTCACGAGTCTTACACCGACAAAGATACACATGCCTTGCAAGTCGATAGCATATCTGGTGACTGCTATCGTGGTCATCGCCTCGCTCAAATGGTTTTACGAATACCTTCAGGCTCGAAAACCTGGCTTGGGCTGTATTGCCGGCAATGAGGCCACCCATCTCCTGAGTCCTGATGGCGTGAACATCCCAATTATTCATTCCTGTGTGATTATCAAAAGTTGGATCACAGCTGCAGATGTGGTACGCGTGCTCCAAAGGGCCGGAATTCCTAGTAGACGTTTCCAGCGCCTACAGCACTGCGTTTCGGCAAGCCCGGACACGTTTCAGCCCTTCGAAAACAGCCGTGGGGACTGGCCTGTATATTGGTTTCCTGAGCCCTCATTCTCCCACGAGAAGCATGTGGATTATCTCCCAGAGGGCCTCTCTCAAAGGGAGCTCAAGGACTGGATGAGCGGCATCATGAACATGCCACCGACATTTACCCGCAGCCCCTGGGAAATTTTGGTGGCGAATGCCTTGGATGGCGACAGCGAACGCACGGCGTTGATATTGCGGCTGCATCACGTGCTAGGGGATGGTCTCTCTGTGCTCGGTTTGCTGGAAGCCATGAGCGAGCCTCTGGAAGAGCACAAGCGGGGAGCTGAGAACCGGGAAGGGGAATGTATGCTAGCGACTGCCCTGACAGTGGGGCTGAAGCGCCGCCTAGACCAGCACAAAGAGTCCAGTCATCCGCATCAGACACATCCTATGATATCAAGCGCACCCTCTCCTTGCGCCACGCTCAGCTCGCTCTCCCGCCTCCTCCACCGCCTTTCTCGCTCTGCCCTCTTCGGAGCACGTATGGCGGTGGAAGTGCCCTGGGTGCTATGGCGCGACTACATCGCAGCGCCTCCGGAGCGCAATATGTTCAAGCCCCAGCCCCTGTCGGGAAGGAAGAAGGTGGCCTGGTCCCAGGAGCTCCTGGAGGTGGCTCGGCTGAAACGCGTCAAGGACAAATTGGGCGTGAAGGTCAACGACGTGTTGCTGGCCTGCGCGACGGGGGCGCTCCGGACCATCATGCTGAGCCAGTCCGTCGGCGACCGTGCTCACTTCGTGTTTCCAGAGGTGCCACGCGGAGCCACAAGCCCTATCGTCGAGAAGGAGGGGGAAAGTGAGGAGGAGGAGGAGGGAGGAGGAGGGGCGGGGGGCCTGGAGCCGACGGTTTCGAGCAAGCGAACTTCGGCATCACCCTCCCCTGCGACTTCGAACTCCCCCCCCCCTTGACCGACGCCGTCCGCGTTTTCCTCCCCATGTCCGTGCGGACCAACCTGGCCTCCCTCACAGACCTGGACAACCAGCTCTCCGTCCTCTCGGTCGCCCTTCCCACGGGCCTTGCCTCCCGTCGGCGCCGCCTCGCCCATCTGCACGCCCTGACCTCCAGACTGAAAGACTCCACCGTGCCCCTCGGCGTCACCCTTCTGACCACAGCCACGGGCGCCCTCCTCCCTCGCAGACTGCTTGAGGCTCAGGCCGACTTCCTCTGCCACAGGACCACGGGCGTCGTGACCAATGTCCCCGGACCCGTTCACCGCCGACGCTTCGCGGGGCACCCGATCGAAGGGATCGCCGTCCTGGTGCCCGCCGTCTCCTCCATCGGCATGGTCCTCTCCACCTTCACCTATGGGGAGGTGATGAGTGTGGGGCTGGTGCTGGACGAGGGCATTCCCTGCCGGGCGGACGAAGTGCTCGAGGCCTTCGCGCGCGAGTTTGAGAAATATGAGGCTCTGGCGGCCCAGGCGAGCAGGGAGAAGGTGGAAGGTCCGCTTTGAGGCAAGTAGCTTGGAGAAAGGTAAAGTGGACAACAAGGTGACGAGTGCGTGAGGGGGTCTGTGTGCATGGTGCGACCACCGCGCTTTTCGCGTCGGCGCGTGAATCGACATGGCATGTACAGCTGACTATCCATGACTTTGAAAAGGAACAGCAAGGATTGAGCGGCCTCCAAGGCGGTTCCACGGGTCCGAAGAGGACATACACATTGTGCCGGGACTCCCCAGGGCTTTGCTATTCATTCACATAAGCCAATTCACATCTCCGCGAGTCCTCCATCCTCGTTTCTAGTTCTACAACCTGTTGTCCATCTTTTATCCTGGCTCCTCTTTTGACCTTATTTGTTTATTTTTACTGTGCCAACTACCTGGTAGCATGTGACCACTGCTCTACTCTATCCTTCTCTCAACCCGGAAGCTCTGACGGCAAGCTTTGCCCACTACTCGTAAGACCCTTGGACGACATCCACGCTCCTCCCTCTTGCTCTACTTTCCTGGCGCCTGCGGCTCTTGAGGTCGCTTCGGCCGCAGGGCAAGAGGCGGAGGATCAACACATTCCCCTCCCTCAACCGATTGATGATCATGCCCACGGTCGCCAGGCACTTGGTGGGGGCGGGCCTCTCGCTGCCTTTCACCGCCCGCTGGACGCAGCACTCCAGGATCACGTCCAGGGAGGGGGTGTGCGTCGACTGGACCATGATGGCCGAGAAGGCGCCCATCAGCTCGTACAGGCCCGGGCCCGAGAGGAAGCGAGGCCAGAAGCTGTAGATTGCCATGCGCGTCTGGGACTTGAGGCCCTCGAGCTCTGAGGGGAGGGGATAAGAGAGCGGAAGGAAGGTGAATGGATAGGTACAGGGGCAGTGGCGGTGGAGGAGGGAGACCGACGGGCGGGGCCGAACCCACCTTCCGAGGATATAAAGAGCTCGCTCATGCGGTCGTTGCACCAAACCGACTCAATACCCGTCGCGTTGACGGAGGCCACTACGTAGCAGGCGTTCTCATCCGCCGCCAGCTGCTGGATTAGCTGGGATATGCTGGGGTCGCCCCCCGCACTGTTCCCTTGTGCCCCTCCCGCCGGGGGCCCCCTCTCCCCCACACCCCCGCTCTTTGCTTTCCTCCGTTTTGGCGCGAACGCCTGAGGCTGGGTGTCAAGCAGGTGGTCAAGCAGAGGAAGGACTCCGGCGGTCATATCCGCCACCCCTCGAGCCTGCGAGCACGCCCTAATCAGCGCCCTCGCGTTGAAGACTTTCTCCCAGTCCAACATCCCCTGGGCGGCCAGACGGGCGATGGCGCCACTCACGCCGTTCCGAGCGTGGAGGATGCTCGCTGAGGTGGAGTCGAGCAGGGGAAGGGAGGGGTCCACGGGAAAAGCGGGTTCCTCGAGCCGGGTGGAATCCACGGCCCTGGAGACGCGACGGAAGGGGGAAGAGTACTCCTCCCACGCGCGCGTTCCCGCATTGTCGCCGCGGCCTACTTTGGCAGACTTGCGCGGCCTGTTTTCGTTACCTTCCAACCTTTCGTGATCCTCCCAATCACACCGTTGGTTGCTTTTGTACCTGACACCACGGTGGGTGGCCCCCCTCGCCACGTCCTCCTCCGCCACCTCCCAAGTCCGGGCCGTTTCTTGACGTGCGTGTGAGGGGACAAGGTGATGTTTGAGGGAGTTGGAAGTGAGTGCGCGCGCGTCCAAGAGAGGGAAGGAAGAGGTTTGATCACGCGGTCGTCGCGGCAGCATGTGTGGGTGCACAGGGAGGATGTGGTCAGGCTTAATACGACGGAGGCAAGGGAAGCCCGCGGGCCTCGAGAGAGACGGGGACGACGAGGCGGCGCCAGGGGGAGGTGCGTGCGCGGAGGAAAAGGAGAAAGATGCGGTCGCAGACGTCGACGCCGAGGCAGCCCGAGACGAGAGGGACGGAACTGCCGGTGCTCGGACAGACCGATGAGCTGCCTCGGGCACTGAAGGGTCCGTGGCGTAAGCGAGCGGTAAAGAGTCAGGCCTCTCTCGTAATCGCGATCGGCAGCCTCCACTGGTTCCAGTGGCCGATTCCTTACAATGCTCGAGCTCCGGCCTGTGCCAATGTACGGCATATTTAGGTTACACTTCTCATTGATTACATACATGCGATCGGTCTCATGACCTGTCGACGTCATCCACACCCAAAACTTACTGTGCCGGTGGACTCAGGCCAGCAACTGTCGACAGAAGAGAGAGAGCACTGACGTCCTTGGCTTGTGTGGCATTAGGGCGGAAGACAGCAGGATGAGGGCCGGAAGGAATCCATCGCTCTCTACCCTCCAGCATTGGCGCAGACATCTTGTTTGTAAGTTGAGGACCCTGAGAGAAGAAGTGCAATTCAAGCGTAGAGATGAATGAAGGGTGGAAGAGTGTGTCGTAGCGGTGCGGTTAGACAAATGAACAACGTCAATAGTGCAGGACATTCAATCTCCGGCGTACTTATACTCGGCGGTTCCGACGTGGTCGCGGCGGGACAAATCTCCGTGAATATCTCCTTTTGAGGGTACCACAATGCTTCTTATCTAGAACTCGTAGCTATCAAGTACTGGTAGCTGTTCATGCACGAGAACCGAAGGACGACGAAGCGGGGTTAACTTGTCCCCCAAGGCCTCAGACGACACGTGGGCAGACTGTCGGCTTTTTCCCCTCCTTGCACTGGAACGCACCACCCTCCCCTACTCCACTGCGTTGCCAGCCTGACGACAGGGCACACCGCGACACGGGCACGCAGGAGATACCATACACGCTTTGCCAACACAGTGTGTTTCATACAGTTGCAACGGTGTTAGATTTGATCTTTATCTTCGTGTGTTTTCCCTTGCTCGGCCTTACCGCGAGCGGAGTCCTCTCCTCAGCGCTGATCGCAGTAAGTCAAAAATCGAGCATACGCACCAAATGTCACACCAGAAGAAGATAAAAAAATCTGTATCTTCCAAAGGAGAGATGAAATAGGCGCGCACAACCGCAAGGATGCAAGGCTGTATTTTTAATGCGGAATGACTGCCTTATGGAATCAGAGCGTCGCGCAGACAGGCAGAGATGCGTAACATATGCCGGTGACTTCATAAAGCCGCGGAGTCGGAGTAACAAGTGTTCTGTTCGTCTGAAGAGAACCAACATGGCCCCACGACCGAGCGCTTATGCTATGCAAGCATATCTCTTGGAAGGTATACTAAGGCATATATAGAAAAATAGACACAGACACACTTTTGAAAAAATCTGAACCAAAATGGAAGTTAAAAAAGTTACCACGCCACAGTCCATAAGAGTTGTTGCTTTTTTTTAGGGGACAGAGCCACCTCAAAAGTGTGTGACTCTGTGTTTTTTTGCTAAAACCTCACCAGATGCTGAGAAACCTGTACCCCCACCTCTCAGATGCAGTAGGTCACTTTTCTAATGTATTGGAAAGACGCATGATAAATGAGAAAGAGGACAAAAACAACCAAAAAACCCCGAGGAACCCCTTGAGCAAGGTGGCGCAGGGGAAAGACGCGCTTCAGATTCAACCTAGATCAGCGGGCACGGTTGGAGAAAACATTTGGCTGCGCTCCCATGACACCATGCCTCATACCCTGAAAGCTTTGCCCGTGACTGGACATGTCATGCTTGGATACGCCAGCTCCTGGGCAATGCTCTCCAAGACGACTACCCCCGTACTGGGTAGGGATGATAGAAAAGGAGCCAAAAAATAGATGACGTACAGAGCCCGGTTGCAACAACTGCATCGCCCTGTACTGGTGACTTTTCATTTTTCACTTTTTTAATGGTCATTTTCTTCCCCATTCCACTTTCATACCTTTTGATGAAGACAGCTGGTTGAGATGTGATGGCCTTGCGGGAGACAGCGCACAGAAACTTGCCGCGTCCATCATGCTCGTTCTAGAAGGGAGGAAAAGGGAGAAGGGAGGCCCGGTCTCACTGAGCGCACGAGCCCGCGCTCACGCCTCTCTCGCACACGCACATGCGGAGAGATAGAGATATTTCCTCCCTCCTTACCCTCCACTCCGGGTCGACCATGAGGGGCAAGGGGAGCAGGTCCTTGGCGCGGAGAGGATCGCCGGTCATAGGGCTGCGCGGGCGCGTGGCGGGCTGTAGAGAATTGGGAGCTACATTCAGTGTCCACACGTGATGTTGCCTTTCCCTTCTTTTCACACCCATCGCCCAAGATCTACATTCAGTGTCCACACGTGATGTTGCCTTTCCCTTCTTTTCACACCCATCGCCCAAGATCTACATTCAGTGTCCACACGTGGTGTTGCCTTTCCCTTCTTTCCACACCCATCGCCCAAGATCTCCGACGCGTGGTGTGTCAAGTATATTGACGGCGCTGCGAGAGCTACCGTCGGACTCGACAGGGCAGCACGTTGAACATAGAAGGCCCCCCTGAACCAACCCCGCTTCCCACTCAGGAAACTGCCAGTCGCATCGCTCTTCTACCTTCTCTATGGCCGTATTCTTGGCCTCTGGTGTGCAGACGGGCACCCAGAAGGAAGTCTTCTTCACATCCTCTTGCTTGGTCTTGAGGTCTCTGTGGATTACTTTCGAAAGTTGCTGAACGCCGGTGTGGGTAGGAGACCAGCCACAGGGAGAGCGTGCACAAGAATCGGTGAGCCGAGTTTCAGACTGATTCTGGACAATCAACGACAGGAAGGTGCCACGGACAAACCTGCTTGATATATCTCTGGCGATTCTCCTCCTGAGGGTTTTGCTCATGCTCTGGCAGGGACGAAGGTTATACAAAGACCACAATCAGCAATCATTCATTTACCCATTCTGAACCTCAAAACTTGTCCTTCGCACACTACCTTGCCGCGGAGCTGCCTCCTCAAAGGTCGACGTCTGCCTCTCCACGAAGCGGTGCACATCCTTTTCCTTTTCCTCGTTCAAGGCCGCCTCCATTCTCTCCTGCTCTTCTTCTCTTTGTTGCTAAAGCAATTGCGATGGGAAGACGGGGGTGAGAAATGGAACAGGATGACCTGGGGCATTCGACAGATTAAAAGAAAGTCGCCCATGAAGGGCAGCATACGCACCTCATACAGGACGCGCTGGCGCTTGAGGTCTTGCGTCTTAGATAATAGATACTCGACAATGGCCTCTCGCGAATAAATATGACCTGACGGGCTGCAAATAAAGTGTGTGAATAAAGATTGAAGGTAGATTTCATGACATTTCAAGCGATTTTCTGGACGGGCGTTTTCTTCCGAGGATTCGTACCTGACAACCGGATCTGTCACGGGCTTTAACGTCAAACAACAGTAGCCAAATGGCTGCTGCGAGTCTGTCCCAATACGAGTTTTTTGGGTTCCCCACCTAAGATGTCGTCCAAAATGACGAGGCAGTGGATCGTGAATGTATACGTGCTACTACGCATCCCTTGTTCCCACTGCCTGAAGGACCTCGATGAAGGCAACAAAGAAAGTTATTTCAAAGGATTTATCTACTCCCCACATCGACATTTTTCTCCTCCTGCCGCTATGAATAGACAAAAAGATATCGTTTTGATTTGCTTACCCAGCCATTTTGCGTTCCTGGTACGTGAAAGTCGCCCGGTCCGTGTTGTTGCGGGAGTGTTTCTGAGGCATGCTTTCGGTTGGTGTGAGAGACTCTCCGAGCAAGCAAAGCTGTGTAATAGGTGGGAGACCTAGCGTCACAGAATGTCTATTCTCAATATAGGGAAAATTCGCCACGAATGGAGGCGTCAGAGTGAAGGGAGACTATTTACGTCGTCGTGGAGTCCAGGCGGCGGCCAGCTAGCCGCCTGTCCGGGTAGCTTTTGCTTGCTTGCTTGAAATCAAAAACATTGTCGTCGACCAAGGAGCAAGCACGATGTAAACTTTAAGCATTGTTTTTATTGTACCATGAATGTACGATACATCGTCTTTATTCAAACGTAGATATGTAATTCTGATATATGTATAAGATGAACACGTCATCTTCACGTGTCTGTGCAATTTTCACCTAAGCCCCTTGCCCTCCTGTTTCCATCGTAGCTTTTCCCCTCTCTTTTTCCTTGACAAAATCGCCCGCCGTTTTTGCCTTCCTCCCTTGTATTCCTTTCGGCAATGTCCAATGCGCCTTGCTAGCATTCTTACAAGCTTTAATTTTTCTGAGCTTGCTTTCCATGCTGTTCGGCATCAAATCATGCCGTGCGATCACCCCACAAACATCTCGCTCTATGCTCAGCACAAGTAAGTGTCTAAGCCCTAAGCCCCGGAAGAGACGGTAGACTTTCGTGACACTCGAATCCTCTGTCACGAAATAGACACTGGGATTGCTGTAAGGTCGCAAGTCCATCCATTTGCTTTCATCCTCCGGGGTGAGGGGAATGACGGGTTGGGCAATGACACGGCTACTGAGGCGGGCAGCCGACTCGAGGAGTTGCGCAAAATCAAGAACAGGCGAGGCAAGCTCAGGATTGTCTGGATCATTGTTGACTGAGGCCGTGGAGGAGAAGTTAGCCGCTTGCAGCAAGACCACGAGTGTCTCCCGCATAATCGTGCCGAAAAGGGCGCCGGATCGGGTCGGGTGTGAGGAAGGATAGAGGAGCGGGAACATGTTATGCCCTGTGGTGCACAAAACCTCTTGCACGCGCTTGACCGTCTCGATAGGTCTGAGCGAGACGACTTGAGGGGTCATCAAGTCGCGCGCGCGGAGCTGAGCCAACGCCCACTTGGGCGGGTCGGGGCGGAGGAAGGGGTAGCCCTTGATCTCGATGATCATGTCGTAGATAGAGGGCGTGAAAAGATCCCCAACCCAGTGAGCGCTGAGGAGTACCAAGGCGAAGGGGAGGAGGAAGAACAGGTTGCCCGTGGCCTCAAGCATGATGACGGTCATGGAAGGCACCATGCGCGTGATCCCGCCCACGAAGGCGGCACTCCCCATGATGGCGAAAACACGGACCTGACCCAGATAGGTGGGGTGCCCGAAGACCACGACAACCTGTCCTGCCATCCGGCCCAGGGCCGCCCCCAGGAGGAGCTGCGGCACGAAAAAGCCGGAGGGGACTGACACGCCGAACGCGAGGACCAAGAAGAGAAAGTAGGGGCCGGCGAACAAGGCCAGGGCATGCAGGGAGAACATGGGTTTGCCGTCGCTCAAATTGAGGCGAGGCAAGTGAAAGAGGAGGCGGAGGGCAGATACCCCGTCATTCAGATATAGGGAGGCCACCTCGTTGTAGTGCCCGGGCGCGCAGGTGAGGGGCAGAAGCTTATCCAAGTAGGGAACAACGTATGCTGCGTCTTCGTAGAATGAGGGTTCCGCTGGCGGAACCGGTCGACAGGCCCAGCTCTCGCTTAAGAAAGAGGCGAGGAAGCCCACTGTGGAGACGATGACCGTCACGCCCAGCACCTCCATGAAGCGCCGAGGCCAGGTGCAAACGTAGGAATGGCGGAGACGGCTCATGTGCCAGTGCAGGGCGTTGAAGGCAGCGCCTAGTATCCCCCCGAGCACCCCCATGCCGACGAAAAGCAGCAAATCTTCGTTGGCGACGCGAATGCCTGTGGAGAATGAGCCGGCGTAGGACTGCATGTAGGAGGGATCGACGAGAGAGGCGCCCGCGGGCCCCATCCGGGACCCCGCTAGCAGGTAGGTGAACAAGAGAGTGCCTGTCGCGCAAAAAAATACGCGCCACGTCACCTTGAGACTCCAATACGAAGAACCTTCCTCCCATGCCAGCAGAAGCCCGCCAATAGGGGCCGCAAAGGCTGCCGTAACGCCAGCGGCCGCCCCAGCGACAACCAGATCGCGCCTCTCGGAGTGATTTGAGAAAACGCGCGCCGCCTCGAGCAGCCGATCCACAGGCCGAATCAAACGCGCGCGCCTGCTTGTGCAGGCAGCTACAATGCTACCAATGTGGATCATGGGGCCATATTTTCCCACTGGCAGCCCGGCGGCTACGGCAAATATTGTCCCGAACACCTTCGCGGTGAGCGTGCTAAGGCTGTAAAGTGGTAGTTAAAAATTAGAACCAGAGATTAGCAACAAGAAATTCGCAGACAATTGATGTCAACGATGCTATCTGATCCTCTGATCAGCGTCAGAATGTTGAGAAGTTCCCTCTTAAGGGAAAATTATTGATACAGGGCGACATGGACGCAACGCTTAGCAGACACTCCGGTGTATCGAAACACAAACAAGACAGAGATCTCACACAATGCTATTAGCATCTAAGACCCAAAAAATATAGAGGTAGGCGTACTGACCTTTGGATATCGGGTATACGGATGCCGTTCAAAAATGCTTTGGTTTCTGGAATGCCCGAACCGGCAGACGCGGGCACCAAGTACACCATCAAAAATGCAATGATGGCATACAGGCAAGATAGAATTAGCTTTATAACATATTTGCTCCAGCCAGACTGGAACTGAAGAGTAAAGGTCGTTCTAAAGGTAACCAATGTGGCCGACGAGTACGAAATGAAAAGGTACAGCGTCTCTATGACGATGGCTATGAAGAAAATTACCAACCACCGGAGGAGAGAGCGTTTTCGAGTCTGCCATCGTAAAATTTTGTTTCCAACCTCTTGGAGGTTCCCGTCTTGCTCATCCTCAATGCCTGAAGAGGTAGTCTCATCACGCATGTGAGAGTGGCAATTCGTCCGCTGCTCTAGCTCGTACAACCGCGCCACCTCACTTTCATGCGCTTCATAGTTTTGCGAGCTTATGCTGGGGACTTTTTTCAAAGGCCATGCCTTGCTCTGAGTTTCGTGGGGTAGACCTGTACTAGTCCAGCTGCGGGGCCGGAGGCGAGTCGTTGAGGATGAACAGGTAACATCTTTGCCCAGATTCGACTCGACTGGCTGTCCTTCCTTTACCACATTTTCTCTGCCAGTCCCGGTATAAGCTTTATCCTTTGCTAAGGCTCCATCCATGCCTGTTTTTTAAATTAAGATTTGTGTCAAGGTGCGACGGAAATTAAGAGAAAACGTGCCTGTACACATGGGCCCAAAATGCGACAAGACATGCAACCCGTCGGTCCCAAAGTCATTTTCATCAAAAAAAATCTTCATCCGCGTATCATATCAGGTAACGACAAATTTTAAGTTACTATATAAATCAGCACTCCACTCTACTTATCAAAAATGGTCAGTAAAAGACCTTTACCTGCGTCAAGGCGGCGGTTGTCCGGGTAGCAAACGATCGCGTGGCGAGTCGCCACTGGCAACCTCCTGGCCAGAACGTTGTAGCCCATTTGTCACTCAGATCTCTGTTTTACTATCAGGGACGCGTTTTTGCAAGAAAACCGAAAGAAAAATACGGAATATGAAACGAAAAATGGCCACCACAAGAGAGAGTATTGTCGAGAAGTGAGTGACGCACACATAAATACTCGCCCAAAGCGTGCTCAGAGACGACTATACGAGCGACTTTGTATCCTAGGGCTTGAAATAAGATAAATTGTCCACAGATGGGAAGCAGCAGTAAGACGCATGAGATATTCCCGCAAGAATTTCAAGATTTGTCGAGGCCTTAATGTTCTAAATGGCATCGGTAAGCGCAATAAACATAGACCACAAGACTCATCCAGAAAAGGTCAGGAGTAGGACTTCATAATATTGAAATATGACGGAACGAGCAGATGTGCTGATATATGTTTGAAGTAGAGGAAAGGTCTGGGATAGGAGCAGCATGGGGAAGAAGGAAGTAGGACAGAAGAACAGCTCTACTGGTAGTCTAGTCGGCGGTAGAGAAGAGAGAGGGGTTGAACGTTTTCGAAGAGAGAATCCTTTGCATAGAAACTTGACATACTTGCGAGCTTTCATCGCTCTTTTTTTCCTTCTCCCTTTCATTGTGGCTCTTTCCATCCCCCGTGCTCGCGTATTTATTCATGCTCTTCATCTCTCATTCATTCCTCCTTCCAGATTACGTGCGGCGGTGCGCATCGGTCGCACAATTTCTCGAAAAAAAAGAAAATGTGCGAGGGAGGAAGAGACGGAGAGATGAAGGAATGCCGGCACATATTTCTCCGGTGTTCTCTGTAGGGATGCCGCGACCGACCCGACATCGAGGCAGCTAGCCATCCCTATCTTCTTCAGTAGTATAAAGGGAGCGATAAAAGAATTGAAGGTCAGATCTTCTTACGAAGGACTTGCATCCTTTCCTCTTTAATCGTGAATATTCTTAAGTCGGTCATTTCTTTGCCCTACCCTGCCTCCATTTAATCATCGCCCGATTCCTTTCCCCCTTTCTCCTGCCCGTCCTTCCATCCTCCCTCCCTCCCTTATCCCTTCCCCTGTCTCGAGCTTACCTCTGTGCTCGTCTCTTGCTCTTCCCCTCTCACACCTTCCACCGTGATTTCCCTCTTCTTGTCCTCTCTCCTCGCTTCTCCTGTTTCTCCTCTATTCTTCCGTCCATGAAACAACCCACGGTGCGTCCTCCTTCCCCTATCCACGTCGTCCTCTTTCCTCACACTGTCCAAGTAAAGGGTAGACTCACCTATGGATGGTGCGATCCATGGAGCGATGTCCGACTATTCTCCGAGGACTCTTCATCCGGTGCACACTTTAGCGGGACGATAATCTTTGGGCACCTTCATACGTGTCGATGGGCCATTATCTAGTTATTCTTCACTCTTGGGTTGTAATTTTATCGATGTCAATACTCGGG